TTGGCTCTTTGACGGTATCAGCCTGTGGGAAAACCATCGGCTGCTGGGGTGCGTGGGGTTCTCCCTTGCTGCCTGAGCAGCCCAGACAACGACCTTTACATTCTGGTCCCCTCACCCCTGAAGGCCCTGGCTTTGCCAGTGTCCCCCACCGCTGTGACCTCCTGTCCCCCAGCCGTGCCGGCTCACAGGATTTTCCTGCAAGGCCTGGCGTCTGCGTCACCCTTTCTCGCCTTTTCTTCAGGTTCTCTCCCTTCTCTCCCAGCTTCCTTATGTAACTCGGATTGGGGCTGAAACTGCTAGAGCTGGCTGTTCGTAAGTGCTCCCCAACATAGAATGAGTTTTATGTTTTATACTTCCCCCGTCTCCCATAAAAATGGCCAAAAAAACAGGGAATGGTGGTAATTACAGATTAAAAGGTAGATGTAGTTCCCCATAATACCACGATTAATATGTGATCATGTTGTCTAGCCAAAACAGGATTCCGAAGCTGTTTATAAACTAGTTGGGAAGAAAAGATAAATACCCTGAAAAAATAATAAATGTTTTATAACCACTAACAAAAAATAAAAAGAGACTATTTCACAAGATACAACATGTTTAATTGTCCATGGAAAATTGTTATAAAAGTTAAGCAGTGGTAAAAATAGCCAACAGAGACTTTGTGGTGTTCCGGCATGCGGACGGGCCCCGTTTTGTTGACCCGGTCCCCAGCCGGTGGGCTTTTGTGTTATTTCCACTTTTGGCCTGTTAAACCGTTGCTAATGAACATTTGTGCACAAGTTTTGGGTGGGCATATGTTTTTGTTTCTCTCGGGTACATACTCAGGAGTGAAAGTGCTGGGACATATGGTAAGTTTATGTTTAATGTTTTAAGAAATTGCCAAACTGTTTTCCAAAGTGATTGTGCCATTTCCCAGTCCCATCAGCAGTGTTACAAGGGTTTCAGTTTTCCCACATTCTTGTTAGACTTTTTGATTGTAGTTATTTCAGTGGCTAAGGGATATCTCATTGTAATTTCAGTTTTCATTTCCCTAATAACTTGTCTGTTGAGCATTTTTCATGTGAATTAGTAGTCCATTTGTACATCTTTGATGAAATGTCTATTCGAGTCTTTGTTTTGTAATTGGGCTGTTTTTCTTATTCAGTTGTATGAGTCCTTTATATTTTCTGGACAAAGATTTTTTTCCCTCTTTTTCGTTTATATTTTTAATTTCAGCTTTATGTAAGTATAATTGATATAAAATTATAAGATAAGTATACATTGTGGTGATTTGATATACATAATGAAAAAAATCCCCCATGTAGTTAATTACCAAATTTCAATTATGCAATACAATGTTATCAACCATAGTTACCATGTTATTCGTTAGATCCTCAGACCCTACTTATCTGATAGCTCAAAGTTTGTATCCTTTTACCTGCCTCTCCCTATTTCCCCCACCCTTTAGCCCCTGGCAGCCACTTCTCTGCTGTTTTTATGAGTTTGACATATTTTAGATTCCACATAGAAGTGGTACCGGGCAGTATTTGTCTGTTTCTGACTGGCTTATTTCACTTAGCATGATGCACTCATAAACAGCAGGATTTCCTTCTTCTCATGGCTGAATAATATGCCATTGGACCTGTACACCACATCTTCTTCATCCATTTATTTAGGTTGTTTCTGTATCTCAGCTATTGTGAATAATGCTGCAGTGGCCGAGTATACTGATATTTCTTCAAGATCCTGTTTTTGTTTTCTTTGCATATCTACCCAGAAGTGGGTTCTTGCTGGATCGTATGGTAGTTCTAGTTTTAATTTTTTGAGGAACCTCCATACTGTTGTCTGCAGTGGCTGCACCAAACTGCCCTCCCCCCAGCAGTGCGCAGGGTCCCCTTTCCCTCCACGTCCTCGCCAGCACTTACCTTGTCTTTTTTATGATAATCCTTCTAACAGGTGTGAGGTAATATCACGTTGTGATTTTGATTCGTATTTCCCTGATGATTTATAATGTTGAACACCTTTTCACATATCTGTTGGCCATTTATTTGTATGTCTTCTTTGGAAAATATCTATTTGGTTATTATGACCATTTTCTAATTGGATTGTTTGTTTTTTTGCTAAGTTGTATAGGTTTTATGTATTATGAATATCAACTCATCATCACATACACAATTTGCAACTATTTTCTCTCATTCGGGTGGCCTTTTCGTGTTGTTGATGGTTTCCTTGCTGTGCAGAGCTGTTTAGCTTGCTGGAGTCCCACTTGTTTATTTTTGCTTTTGTTACCTTTGCTTTTGATGTCAGATCCAAAAAATCATTGTGAATACCCACAAGTTCTTTATCAGATATAATTTGTAAATATTTTTCCTAGTATATGGCTTATTTTTTTTCCTTAGTTGTGTCTTCTTTTATAATAATTTCATTGAGATATAATTTATATAACATACAGTTTACTCCTTTAAAGTATACAATTCAGTGCTTTTTGCTATATTCACAGTTATGCAGCCACCCCACAATGAGCTTTAGAACATTCCATCACTCCCAAAAAGCACCCCGCACCTCCTCGCAATGACTCTTCATTCCCCCCAAGCCCCTCAGCCTCAGACAACCATTAATCTCCTTTCTGGCTCTATGGATTTGCCTATTCTGGATATTCCTTATGAATAGAATTTTAAAAATGTGGTCTTTTATAACTAGTTTTTATGCATATTTTCAAAGTTTGTCTATTTTGTAGCATGAATCAGTACTTCATTTCTTTTTATTGTCAAATCTTATATTATTGTAAGAATATATGACATTTTATTTAAATCATTCATCAGTTGATGGATATTTGGATTGTTTCCACTTTGGGGGTGTTAACGTATCATGCTGCTATGAACACTTGTGTACAAATTTTTGTGTAGATACATGTTTTCATTTCTGTTGGGTGTACACATGTAGTTGGGGAATTGTTGGGTCATATGGCACTCAATGTTTAACCCTTTGAGGAATTGCCAGGCTGTTTTCTAAAGCTGCTGCACCATTTTAGGTTCCTACAGCAGCTTGTGAGGGTTCCCATTTCTCTACATCCTTGGCAACACTTGTCATTGTCTCTTTTCTCGTAGCCATCCTAATTGTTGAGAATGTTATCTCCTTGTGGTTTTGATTTGCATTTCTCTAATGGCTAATGATGTTAAGCATCTTTTTTTATGTGCTTATTGGACATTTATACATCTTTGGAGGATGTCTATTCAGATCCTTTGCCCATTTTTAAATTAGGTTACTTGACCTTTTATTATTGAGTCATAAGAGCTCTTTACATATTTTAGATACAAATCAGTAATCAGATATATGATTTGCAAAAAATGTTCTTCCATTCTGTGAGTTGTCCTTTTACTTTCTTAAAGGTGTCCTTTGGAAAAAGAATTTAATTTTGATGAATTCCAATTTATTTGTTTTTTTCTTTTGTAGCTGCTGTTTCTTGTCATATCTAAAGAGTCATTGCCTAGTTTTTGTTCTTATATTTAATGTGATCCATTTGGATGAGTTTTTAAATTTAATATGAGATAAGGGCCTAAATTCATATTTGTTTGTATTGTGGAAAAATCTCAAAAGGCATGCTAAGTGATAAAAGCAACTTGCAAAATGATACATGCAGTATGATACCATTTATGCAAAATTTAAAAGCATGAAACGTCTTGTGTTATTCATAGTTACCTATGTACACACAGGTGTCAAGTTTCACACCAAAATCTTTGCTAATGGTCGCCTCTAAAGGCATGAGAGGAGGTGCCCGGGACTGGGAAGTGTTGGCGGTGAAAGGGGTCTTCAGATTTTACTGCAGTATTTTCAGGCTGAAATAAATTGCTACAGTAGTAACAATTATTAACTTCGGCATATATTATGTTACACTTTGTAGCTTCGCCTGTTTTTTAAAATGTCTCTAAATACCCACACCAGTCAAAGCAGGAATGAGGAGGAACAGCTTCTTGCGCCCGCACTGCTTGCACGGGGCGGAGAGGCTCTGTGCAAATAGCCCTTGGCCAGCTCAGGCAGACCCTAGTTGTCGGGGAGTCGGGGGGCGGTTTGAGCTAGACCCCAAAAAGATAATTATCTTTGTTTGAACTCAGTTGCGCACACTGGCTTGCGTTTCCCAGTTTGGCTTCCACAGAAAACCCCAGGGCGCCTGCCACCCCCAGCTGCCCCGGCCGCGAGCGCCCGCCCCGGTGAGCCCACTTTAGCCGGAGGTTTTATGTGGCTTCCCACTGCCCCAGGCTTTCTCCAGACGACACCAGAGCCTTCACAAGGCAACCCCAGTTCTCACTACGACCGCTCTCACCTAGTCCCTGCAAGGTGGCCACGGAAGACCTCGTACCTGCAGCGTGACAAGCCAGGCGACCCGGCCCTGGCACACAAACTCGGGCACGCGTCGCACGCAGCCTGGGAGCCACCGAGGTGCAGACGACGCGCCATGGCCCTTGCGGTGAAGGGGTCATAAAATAAGGGCTGCCACCGACAAGCTCCATAGCCTGGCGCAAAGCCCTCACTCTTTCATCCTTGGTTTTCTTCTGTAAAATAGATTCAAAAGTAACATGCCCTTTCTACGCACAACGTGTTGTGAGGACCAAATGAGACTGTCCATGAACGTGTTCGCCAACAAAAATGAAAGACGTTCATGTATTATCTCCCAACTGTGCGGCCCCGCCCAGGTCAGACCCTCGGCCCCGCTGCGCGGCCTGTGCCCTGAGAGGCTGCCCCTCTGAGCTCGCCTCCGCCTTCCCGCGCCCTCAGTCCCTCCTTCTGGGGCCGTCTCTGCCTCTCCTCCCCGCGCCCCCTCCTGCCCCCTCCCTTTCTTTCTTCCTTTCCTTCCTCTCCAGCCCTGGAGGCAGCCTGACTCCGGCCTTCCGATGCGGCCACGCGCTGACCGCACGGCCCCGTGGCACTGAAGCCCCGTCGGCCGGCTCCGACTGACTGAGACAAAGGACTCTTCCCGGACGTACGGCGCCTGAGAGACCATTTTCTCTCTTCCCTTCCCCTAGGCCCAGGCCACAGGCTCGCCGCACACGTCGCCCACGCACGGAGGCGGCCGCCCGCTGCCCATGCCGGTCCGCTCGGCGTCGGCGGGCTCCACGCCCACGCACTGCCCGCAGGAGCCGCTGGGCGGAGTCGGCGGGGACCTGCAGGAGGCCTTCGCGCAAGGTCAGTTTCAGGAGCGGAGCGTGGGGCGGGGCCGCTGGAGGGGTTTGGGAGCATGGACCAGATTCTTACTGAGCGTTTTCCCGTTTCGTTTCTTTGTGCTTAGGTTTAAACGATCAGATTGTTATATACAGTATTAATTAGTCTAGTGCTGGCTCCTTCTCCTCAGAGAGGCTGGTCTCCATCGGGAGGTCTGCAGGCTTTGTATGTGTGCGCAAAGAACAGACCTCCTGGGCTCCTTTCTCTGGGTTGAGAAGTGCTATATCCTTTGGGCTTTGCTTCCTCCAGAGGAATCGGGTAGAATAATCCCCAAGGTCAAGTGCGTGCCCTGGAGGTCTTCAGAGCGAGCAGGGAAGGAAGGGTGAGCCCTAAACAAGACCTTGCTGAAGGCACATTCCTGTCAGAACGTCACCATTGTCTGAAGAGCTAGAGACCAGCGATGTTGCTAGTTGGGGCAGAGGAGGTGGCTAAGGAGGCTTGTTGGGTGGAGACAGATGACAGGGAGGCCGCGGTGCTGGAGAGGAGCCCTCCTATGACTGAGGGGCGCCTGGGAGCAATATTCGTTCCGGAACTCAACTCTTTTGATTGTGGCTAGGAGCATGCAGCCGACAGGGTCCTGCTCTTCAGCAGGGAAGGAGAGGGAGGAAAACATGCACTTGGGTACCTCGAGCTGCTGATGTGCCCGGGGACGAGTGGGCCGCTGTGGCCCCGTGCCCCCTCTCGTGTCCAGCTCCGTGTCCCAGGGCCTGGCAGACTGAGTCTTGTGCTCTGCTCTCTCTCCTCCACGCCCACCCACCTGGCATCGCCATCTGCTCTGACTCTCCTCAGGTACGAGGAGAAACCTCCGCAATGACCTGCTGGTGGCTGCTGACTCCATCACCAACACCATGTCATCCCTGGTGAAGGAGCTCCACTCAGGTGAAGCCCAGAGCTCCCGCCCGGCCTCATGCCTCCCCTTCCTCATGCCCTCCTCACTCCCTCGTCACGTGGTAAAATGTCATCGGAGAGCACAGGCACCTCACGTCACCCCCCCATCCTCTTGCCTTCCAGGAGCACACTGGACGTCTTCACCCAGAGAGTCTCTCTCCCTCGCATGACCACATAGATAGTTTACACAGTTAGGTTTCTCCTAAGAGCACGCCTCATGGAGCAAACACAACTCAGAATGTAAAGAAATTGAGGCCTCTGGGGACAGCCAGGCCCGTCCTCACTGAGCGTGTCTGCTGTCGGTGTCCCATCGCAGCTGCTCTCTCCTAGGCCCCGGTCCGCCGTCTCGCTCTGAAGCTTTCCCGGGCCACTGGAGCCGAATTGGCCACGCGCGCTTCTGGACCTTCTCCCAGCTGCCTTTCTGCCCCCTCCTCTCTGATTTGGTTGTGAAACCTTATTCTCTCCTTTTGTCCATGACTAGGCTCTCATTTCACTTGAAGTTCATGACCTGAGTCTGTCGCTTCCTTTCCTCCTCGGCTTCAGTTTCACCTATGACTTTGTTCTCAGCCTCTGCCACTCAGCTACTTCGGCGATTTTTCCAGAGACCCTTCCTCATGGCCGCTTTCCCACTCACATGCCACCCAGGAAAGAGAGAAACATTAAAAGGCCATTCCCATATCATCATACCTCTAAGAATCCTTATGACTCCATCTGTTCTGTAGCTGCCAGATATCTGCATATTTTTTTACAGCGGTCCGATTCCCATGTTAAATATTAAACAAGCAGGTTCCCTTCCTGAGTCCCATAGGTCACCCCTACATATCATTCTCTTTTGTTTCTTTTGACCTAATGTAATGCTTTTACATGCCTTGACAAGGTTATGAATTACCAAGGTTATTAATTAAAAATATAAAGCAGTTTTTCCATGGACTGTGCAAACACACCCACTTATGCACACATGCATGTTGAAATCATCCCTCCGCACACTTAAGGACGGCCAGCCTGGGAGCTCCGCAGACTCCCTAAAACAAAGTACTCGCCTTCCGCCTTGTCCTGGGGCCATGGCGTCACTCTCGCATTGGCCTGTTTTCTTTTAGAAGAGAATAAATATGTGGCCTAGGTTGGCTTTCCCAGTGCAGCTAAAATAAGGTGACCGTTCCCCTGTGCAGGGAGCATTATGGTGACACTGTCCCTATTCTAGTGCCTGTCAAAGTCACTGCCCCCGCTTCACACACACAGACACACACTTAAACAGAAGCGGTGGCTGCCGCTGAGATGACTTCACACGTGATTAGAAATGCCCTCCCTGTGTCAGCTCCCCACAGACTTCAGGCCGTGGGGATCAGCCACACTGGTGCCTCTCGGCCACTTACTCGGGTTTACGCAGAATAAGTGGCTCATGAGCTCATCGAACTGGCATGAGAGGTGACTGGACGTCATTCAGCACAAAGCACGCACAGCCCAAACAGCTTCACAGAGCCAAGAGTTTAGGGGAATACTTGGCAATCTCTCGTAGCAGGAAAGGGCGGTGCTAGCAAAATTATGTAATGTGTTTGGAAGGTCCCTGAAAGGTCATGCTGTCCAGTCCCCTCACTTTGGAAACACAGTGAGTGGCTATCAGAAAAGGATTTTGCCTGAAGTTAGGCAGCATGAAGGGGCGACGCTTGTCCTAGAACGTAAGTCTTAAGAACGTTAAGTCAGTGCTCTTACCACTGCCGTCGGCCCCACGCAGGACAAAACATCACATCTGCGGTCCCACAAGGCCCCTTGTCCTGGTGCTCTACCCTCTCAAACACTGAAGACCAAAAGGAGATGTGGACCGAGTCCACACATGGCACAGCCTCTCCGCAAAGTGCACGGTCAGCTTTCCTAACGTGTGAGGCGGCCAGTGTCCCCGTGAATGGGGGAGCAGGGCCCACACTGACGCATTTCCGCTGTCGCGGTGGACGTCTCGGTCAGGATGACGTTAGGTACTCAGATCGTCTTTACATATCTCCTGTACAGCGTGGCCAGGCTATTTGTACCCCTAGAAGTCACTTATTCCAGCTTGCCTCCCGATATAAAAGTCCTCTGTTTGAATGTTCCAGTGAGCTCATTCATGACCAGCTCTCATCGCTGGGAAGTTCTTCCTGATCAGGGAGCCAAAACATGCCTCTCTGTAACAACCTATGCTCGTTCAGTCCTCTGCAGCTACCCAGAGTGGGTTCAATTCCTCCTCTTTGTGTTGCCTTTCAAGTATCTGATGGCAGGTAACAAGGCTCTCCCTAAGCCTTATTCCTCTGAGGCAACTGTCTGCAGTTCCTCCAGCTGTTCCTAACGGGATATGGTTGTCACGTTACCGTGCTCCTTGCCACCCAGGGATGTCACCCAGTGCTTCAAGGCCCCAGTTCAGAGACCCCAGAGCTGAGTATACTTCTCCACATGACGGGGAGGTTCTTCTCTTTTCAGAGCACAGTGAACCATGACCTCCCTGAACGGACATTTGCAAAAGCAACCTTAAGCGGCTTGTGTTTTTCCCTCACACAGCCACATTGCAGTGTTCAGTCATTTTAAGACTGTCAGCTAAAACCCCTAGTTGTGCATTTGTTTTTACGGAAGCCAGTGTTAACCTAGGTTTTCCCTACCGGGCTCTTTTATGGTTGCTTTCTTTAACCTGCAAGATTGCAAGATGTTTGATGTCTCCCTAGTAGACATCATCCCCTTAGGGAAAAGAGGCATGGAGAAGAGGTAGCCGCCCCCACCTTGTCACCAGGGAAGCCAGCAGCAGTGTAGGTGACATCAGACTGCGGTGCCTGCCTCTGTGGGCCCAGGGCTTCCGAGCAGCCCCGTTAAACAGCGCAGGGGCCGGGGCCACACAGGGTGCGTGCTGGGCGAGGGAGCGGCCCGGGAGGCTGCCGCCCTGAGCCCTGAGCCAGGGTTTCATCCCGAGCTGCTCCCGCCACCCCTCTTCCATGCTTGTCCTGTGCGGAAGGGTCACGGGCCTCCTTGGACTTGTTTTCACAGCAGAGGAAGGTGCAGAGGAAGAAGAAGAGAAGATGCAGAATGGGAAAGACAGAGGTAAAGGCAGCTCAACAGGAGCCCCAGTTTGAATGGGAGCCAGAGCCACCTAGTCCTGGAATGAACCCCCCACTTTTGTGTCTGCTTTTCTTCCTGCTGCCGCCCTGAGGGCTCAGGCCCCCACAGCTGCTCCTACCTGCTTTTCCCCCCCGAGCAGCAAGTTTTCCCCTGGAGGTGGTAGTGTGAGTGGATCAGCAAAGCGTCCTGATTTCTGATGGATGGTAGACGGTTGGGATACAGGATATAGATACAATAAATCAGAACATGACCCCTCGCCTCAAGGAGTTTATAATATAATTAGGAAAGCAACATGCAAAATAAACAGGAGACAAGTGGCAGGAAGAGTTCGTCACCAAACTTGGAGTGTATGAGAGTAAATACAGGACAGTTCCCTGAGAAGGAAGAGATGATCATGGGCAGAATGGCTGAATGGTTTTGCGGCTTCACAGAAGAATGAGAAGCAGTGAGGAGAGGCACCAGCCAAGGTCAGGGCAGGTGATGTGCTGGAGATGCTGTGGGATCGGTTCCAGACCACTACAGTAAAGCGAGTGCAGCAGTAAAGCCAGCCACCTTTTCTCTGGTAGAGGCTCTGGCCTTCAGTTTGCATGATAAAGATAGCAATATCTAGGGAGTACAATAAAGGGAAGCGCAATAAAATGAAGTATGCCTATAATGCCTTCTTCATCTGATTTTATATAAAACCCAGTTAATAACTATGTGTGAAGAGTTGTGCTAAATGATTTCCACATACAATCTCTCAGTCCTTAACAACCCTGTGAGATATATGACAACATTTTGCCGAGGAGGAAACAGGCTCAGAGAAATATAGATCATGTCGCTATTAAGTTGCAGATACCGGGTTTGAACTGGGTCTTTCTGACTCCTAACTTCATGCTCTTCAGGCTTCAGTGTTACACTGCATTTGTTAGCTAGCATATGTAACTTATGTTACATATGACTATGGCCGTGTGGCATTCCTCCAAAACGTGAGCTCCACAAGGCAGCGGTTTTGGTCTGCTTTGTCCGTGTTGTGCCCCCAGTGCCTAGAACGGCACCTGGCGCATTGTGGGAGGTCAGCAAATGAAGAAGTCAGGGGAAATAAGCAGGGCGAGGTGCCAGGGAGCTCCTTGTCGGGGAGAGCTGCATGTGGGCCGTGCTAAACGCACCCCTCCTGTTTGATGTCACAGCCCCGTGAGGGGAGGACTCCAGACAAGGCTCAGAGCAGTTCAAAGAATTTGCACAGGTAGCAAGTGTCAGAACCCGGGCTCACTCCAGGTTTCTCTACGCCCAACGCCCAAGCTTTGGTCTGAGCAGATCAGCAGACTGAGTGACACAGAGAAAGGAAGGGTAGAAAGGATCCGGAACAGGCCAGGACGCTGCAATGGGAGAGGGGAGCCCTGTAGGGTGGGGGTCTGCAGCATTGTTTGCCAATAGGCGCTGGAGTGGGCAAGGCTGGGAGGGCTTTGGAGGGTGTCAGCAAGGACGCGAAAGTGCCAAGGAAGAAGCTGGGAGAGGGGGGAACATCCTTCAGGGGGATTGTCTAGCGAGCCAGGGAAAGGCCCGGAAGAAGGTGGACAAGAATGGGATGAATGGATGAGAATGACATGTTTGGCACGGATGTCAAAAGGTCAGAAGAACAGGGCATTAGTTTGAAACATCTAGAAATGCTACAAAGAAATGTCAGGAAGACTGACATCTCTGTGCCAATAGGGGTCCAGGAAGAAGGCAGGAGGGTTGTAGTACAAGAGGTGAGGAGCCGCTATGCAGAGATCCATTTACACTTATGTAAACACATGCCCCAAACAAGCGTGCACACATGCACACCATCCACCCAGATCCTGGCGCTCATTTTGGAATGTTCTTGGCTGAAGACATAACAGCTGCTACTTTGGCCTCTCTTCCCATATACTCTCCCCTCCCCAATAGCTTTTCCCATGGCCTCTCCTTAGCCCCCCACCCCCGGTCCCCTGAAACATAGAGGACTCTGGCCTGCCCACTGGGGCCTTGCCCTGACCAGGGACTTCAGTCCTCAGTCCTGGGTCAAGTCGGGGTGTAGGCTGAGTCTCACCGGTGGACTGGCCGTGGTTCTCTCGCCTGGTGTCTCTGGCCCCAGGGCCTCTGCCTTTGCACCCGTGTTGCCCTGTCTGCAGCTCTTCTTCCTCTCCCTCCTGCCCTTAACGTCTCTGCATGCCTCTTCCAGCGTAGGCACCAGAGTTCCTTTCTACCCACGTGAGCCCTTTTTGTGAAAGTGCCTGAATGTCTGTTTCTGTGGCTTTTAGGTGTCACCCCCTAGGGGAAGAGTGTCAAGAGCTGGGATGAGAGACAGATAGGGTTTAAAAAAGACATTTGACTTTCCACATTGCAAAGGTCCTAGGATATGTCCCTGTCGCTGTTATGTGGGTGTAGCTCTAAAACCAAGCGTTTTTATGGATGGACCTTATGGTTCTCTGCTGCGAGCTTGGCATGGGTTTTTACCGTGTAGACTGACATTGCGCAGCTGCCGTCACCTAGGCGTTAGCAGTAATGGTCACCCAGAGAGAGAGAATGAGAGAGAGAGAGAGAGAGAGTTACCTCTGGGGTTGAGATCCTGCCGACATAACACGAACACAACTTGGTGGGCCCTGTCAGGCAACATGGCCTGCTCAACGCGAAAACCCTGAGAGCCAGATGGACACTCTGGAAGAAGCCACCATTGAACCAGCTCCCCAGCCACACCCGCCCCCTCAGGCCCCTCCCTGCCCTCCCTCGGCTCCCTGTCAGGCTGCACCCCAGGGATGCTTCTGCTCTGGTAGGAAGCGGGGCACGCTTCCTACTTTGCATCCTGCACCTCTTACCTTGAGTGGTGAGTGCTTGTCCCTAAGACTCCGCAAATGAAACAGACGAGCAGGACTCACCCCGTGTCACTTCCAAGCTCTGCACTTGTCTCTGCTACTCCAGAGCCTCATTCTACGCCCCTGCGCTCTTCAGAATTCCCCCTCCCAGCACCTGCCATTCATGGCGAAGAGCTGTAAATCCAGTTTGCACATTTAGAAAAGCCTGGTGCGTGTCTGGCAGGCTGGTGGCCGTGGCCCTCTGTGAGAGTGCACAGGTGTTGGAGGGTCTGGACGCTGTTGTCACTCCAGGGTGAGCGAGGGTATGACTCAGCATTCCCAAGCAGATGGGTCTGCAGGGAGGCAGCATGGCCCTTGTTGAAGTGCCCATTGTGCTCACCTTGTTCACGTCCAGGGCCACACAGGCCGTGTGCCCCCGAAGTAACTGCTCCCTAGAGTTAAGGTGGCTCCATTTCCATTTAACATTAGTATTTCCTCCTCCTGAGAGGCACTCGCCTCCATGGCTGGCTCATGGCAGTTGCAGCTGCTGGTGGTAGGTAGTGTGATGCTCCCCTGGCTTCAGGCATGGTCGGGAAAGTCGGCCTACAGGGAGCGAAGGGGAGAGGCAGGTCCCAAGGCCCATGGGTGCGGGGGGTGGTCAGGAAGGCCCTAGGAGAAGACCCGGGGGACAAGACCCTGGTGGTGACCTGTGTGTTGTTTGTGTCCCTGCTGCCCAGGTTAGCGGAGGAGCTGGGACAGAGAGGACGCACGGTGAGTACAGCCCCTCCGCTCCCGCGGCCCTCTCCCTCCGCAGTGAAGACCTTCCTGCCCCTCCCCCCTCTCATCAAGGCCCATCCGAACAGGGGGAGACCCAAGTTAGGGTTTGCTTTAAAGAGCCCAACCCCACCCGCCTACCCTCTGGGCCCGGGTCCCCGGCTCTGACCCCTCCGGTGCTGGGCCCGGCCCTGGGCTCAGGCAGGGCTTGGGGTCACCTGCGTCAGGATGCAGCTGGCCGAGCAGGCTTTTGCCTCAGAGGTCGGCTGAGAGCCCCGTGTCCTGGGGCTGCCTCTGCCGCAGTTCTCACCCCAGTCACCCATTCCCGCCGCGCAGGATCGCAGGATCGCACCGGCTCCGCAAGCCGGGCAAGCCATTCCCAGGGCACCTGGCCACGCTGCGCCTTCTCGCTTCCTTAAAAAAGTAATAATAAAAGTACAGATTTTCCACAGGCCAATGTCCACTGCCTGTAGGAATTAGCCTTTCACATTTTTCCCATCTTAAGACCTTAATTCTTACCTAATTCCAATTACAAGATACTGCAGCTTCTGGGCATGCCCGCTGGAAGGATAGCGCAAAACTGATTGGACAGCCATTCTGTCCCAGAGAAGAGTCCTTTCAAGGGTGGATGCCTGTGGTGCATCCATGAGAGTTCTCTTTGTTTTTCAATCTCTTCTTTCCTCCCCTCCCCCACTTCTCATGCTTAAAAATTAGGCCATCTTAGTTACAGGTCTTTCAGGCACAAAAGCTAGGGCTGCAGGCCTCATGATTCAGAAAATGAACCTCCCAGACCCTCCCAAGTAGTCTTACCCTGGAGCAGCCTCCAGGCCTTTTCCTGATGCCCTCCCTCTCCCACCTGCACCCAGTCCTCGCGGCGCCCGGTTCCACTCGCACCTGCCGCCCGTGAGCCCGCGCTGACTCAGGCAGGGATCCTGCAGGCTACGGATGGGCAGCCCCCGCGTTGCTGAAATTCTCTTGTTGGCCTGGAACTCACAGAGCCTCCAGGGCTTGGGCAGGCTTTTACCTAAACTCCCTGCACACTCAGGCAAGGCCCTTGCCAATGGCAGCCCGAGGCTGCCCCAGCCAGCGAGGGAGTCAGGAGCTGACTTGCCCTTCAGGAACCTGCCAGAGCCCCTATCTCCTGGGCACCGGACCTGGGGGACAAGGAAAGGTGGGTCAGAGTCACGTGGCCCACCCCCAGTTCATGCCAGATGAGGAAACCAAGGCCCACAACCCGGGAACTTGGCAGGAATAGAATTGGAGCTGGGTCTTCTGCTCCTCTCTGTTCTCTGACCCTATGAGAAGTTAGCAGAAACTCACCAACAGTAGAGAGTCAGGTGAAAAGCACAAAAACTCAGTGGCTCCCTTTCAGGGGCCCCTGAGGTCCGCGCTCTCCGGCGTGAGGAGGAGGCTTTCCTCCCCGCTACCCCGTGTGCACAGGCCTGTCCCTGACCTCTCCACCCCTCTTTCTCCTCAGTTCTCCCCAAGAAACCACCACATTCCAAACCTTGCACTGCAAACCCAGTTTCTTCCCTGGAAGCATTTCCCACACCGGTGACCTACACACGTACTCCAAAAATCCTAGGTGCCCCCAGAAAAGAGAGTATGCCTTTCCCTAAAGGGGGTGTGAGCGTTGTCAGCCCGCTGCATCTCCCACGGTGAACAGAAACGTCCCAACAGCCATCCCTGCACGCTCTCCCGTCCCCAGCAGATGCGAGCAGCCTTTGCTTCGGGACCCTTGGTGGTACCCACGAGTAACAGCGCGTCTGTCCTGCACAGGCACAGGGGACGTGGAGCGAGCTGGCATCAACCTGAGGAAGGCGAGGCCCTCCCCCAGAGGGGCATTCCTGTCCATCTTTCCACGGCACACCTGGACCAGGCTTGCAGGATGCCAGATGTCACACCCGCCAGGGGGAGGGGAGCCCAGCGCCAGTGGGAAGTGGGAGGGGACACCAGATGCCCTGCCGGTGGGCGGCCCTCGCACGGTCCTGCATGAACTTGCATCTTCCCTGCTCCCCTCGGGCAGGGTCTCACCTCTGCCCCGGAGTCTATTGGGAGATTGAAAAGAGCAAAGAAACAGCACAAGCCTTCCGTGTGTGTGACCTGATGGCGTTCTTGCTGGTGGCTCGCTAGCATGTGGGGTGCTCCTCAGGATGGGGGCACATGCTTCCCCCCGCCACCATTGACCTTTTAAAACAGGTTTTTCTTCCGTCAGTCATGCAGTTCGGCTTCAGGCCCTGTTCTAGACATTCACGCCCTGGCCACAGCTAAAAATAGCCTCCTTCCTTTCTCACTGGTGAGGCTTCCGCCCGGCCCGCCCCGTTTGATGCCGCTGCTCTGCAGCCTCGGCGGGAAGGGGGGGCAGAGAGCTGGGGCCGCATCCTGGACGGCTCCTCCCGCAGCAGAGTTCTGCGCCGCCAAGCCGGCGGCCCGCAGCCAGGACACCCTGACCCGTGGCCGCCAGAGGGAGCCCTGCCCAGCTGCCGGGCTCAGGCAGCCTGTCCCCCACTCAGGGTTCCCTTCTGCTCTGGCACACATGCTCTTCAATCCCAGGTCCTGGTGCTTTGCATTTATTTTTTTTCTCCTCCCTGGGCTCCAGGATGTTATTTTTAGTAGAAGAACTTCTATAAATATTTATAAAGGGCAGTGACTGGAATGAAGTGAGAGGCCCCACAGCTGGCTCTCGCGTCCCCCCAACACACGCCCCTCTGCCGACCCCGGCCCGCTGCCTGAGGAGGTCTGTGGAGAGCCAGTGGGCTCAGCCCAGGCCTATGCGGACAGTCACATGGAAAGCCATGAGGGAGCAGCCAGGGTGAGGCCCGGGCGGGCGTACCTCCCCTCCCCTCCCGGCAGCCACGCTCCCTCGATCGCTCCCCCCGAAGGAGGGCACTGTGGTGTGTGGGAGTGCCACGCCCAGGAGGCCCGGCTCCTCGGGGTCATAAGAACTGGGGTGAGGGGCAGGTGCACAGAAGACGGCTCTAGCTAGATGATGGCAAGGAGCAAAGTGGGAACCAGGAGCTGGCTTCCTGTCGGGGGGGTAACGAGCTCTCCCCCTGCCAGCCTCAGGCGGAGCCCCCACAGCAGCTCTGGAGTGCCCCCCAGGCTCACACTGTCACTGACGGTGCGCTGAGGCCCTGGAGAGCCAGCAGGGGTTCTGGTAAAAGAAAAACACGGGTGAAAACATGCTCCCACACTCAGCAGGGACCCCGGCTTGCCTGGAGGGCTGGAAGGGGCAAAGGTGAGTGTGGCCCTGTGGAAAGTTCTGGGGGACAGTGCCGAACCATGGTGAAGTTAGGGATGGGGGGAGCTACAACACGATCGCAGTCACTTGGGTGACTGCCTCCCAGCCACCCTGACTTGCCACGCTTTGTGCCCTGCCCCTGAGGACGGCAGGATCCCACCTCCCGGCCCCTGACATGAACTGCTTGCTCCTTGTGGAGCTGAGAGCCAAAGGAACAGTCAGACCGAAAGCGCCAGAACAGCCGGGCGCTCGGGCCAGCTGAGGCGCACGTGGTCTCCCGGGCCCTGTGTGTGCCACTCTGCTCCTGGGAGGCTGCCCAACTTGGCACGGCTGATCACCACTCAGCAGGTTCTGTCTCACTGTCTGCTTGCCTTTGCTGAGGAGGGGCCTCGACGCCTTCCGCCACAGGAAGGCCCAGAAGGCCCAGCTTCCCACTGTTGCCAGAGCCTGGGGGCGAGGGGCGCTGGGGGGAGCCGCAGGGATGGTTCCGCGGCCAGCATGGTGGTGCGGGGGGTGTGCCTTTTTTATATAAATTCTGGTTGACAGTTGATTTCTTTTGGAGCTAGAATATCCACCGTTATTTAAAGCCCGTGAGGTGCCTCCTGACTTCTTGGCATCTGATTTATATCAGAAGCTTAAAACTGGGTCCCTTTCCTCAACCTGGACTGGAAACACCAGCGTCTGTCCTATAGCGGGCACTTCCTCCCTGATTGCTGTGACTGTGTAGGAACCAATTTAATCTCAGTAGGTGACGCTTTGCTGTAACTGGCATGTGCTGTCATCATCCCGGGCCCCTTAGGGCTAGCTGGTGCTGGGTTGTAGCTGTGAAGACCCCTGGAGAGATCCCAATGCATTCTGGGTCTTGAGGAAGCCGCGGCCCCTCAAGACTCAGGTCTGTAAATCCCAGCCATGCCGAGGTTCCATCCATTTTTGCAGCCTTCTCTGCCGGTGTGCTTTCTCCGCGGGCGCATCCCCCTTCTGCATTGCTTACACCCTGCTCCTGCAGCCCGTGACAGCTTCCGAAAGGTACAGTTGCTATGGCAATGCCCAGAGCCATCTGAATTCCTGCTGCACCTCCTGGAAGGAAAGGGCTTGTGAAGAGCCATTCGGTGGATTCCAGATCTAGCCTTCCCTGGCCTCATCCACCAGGGTCAAGGGGCTGCAAGTGTGGGATGTTGGTAGCCTGGGAAGCCTGGGAAGACACTCTCCGTAGATGTGAGCCCATGCACCTGGACAGGCTCTCCACGTGGGGATCAGAAAACTAAGTGAGACCTCCTATCTGGGGCTCTTAGGTAGCACACAGTACTGGTGGTTCTCAAACTTAGAGCCCTCCTGGAGGGCCTGTGAATAGATGGGTGGCCAGCTGGGTCCCACCCCAAGAGTTTCTCACTCAGTAGCTCTCGGGTGGAGCTCCTGAGTGGTGTTGCTGCTATGAGTGCCCAGACCACCCAGTGGGGACCACTGTGCCATTTGTGAGGAGGAGAAGCATCCAAGTCAGCGCAAGAAGCCGTCACCAGGCTGGTGGAGGAAGGCCAGAGTCAGTGTCTATTCTACAGCAAGGGGTGGCACTCTCCAGTCACATCCCTTTGCCAAGGGGCCCTGGGGAACATGTGCCAGGACTGGTGGTCTTACACTGTTTCTCTTTGGCCCTGACAATCAATGAACACATACATTCCCCCAGATGTGGTGGAGGGAGCAGCGTCCCAAGCAAGGCCTTGAACCTACAGATGAGCAACCTCACAGATGCCTGGTGGCTCAGAGGGTCTAGAGTCTTAGTGGAGGGGGAGGCACAGCCTGCCCAGCCCAGGAGGGAGAAGGGTGGCAGGGCTGTCACAGGTGCCTAGCCCCTACCAGTGGAGCTTCTACACCAAGATGCTTTCCCCAGAACGCAAAGATCGTATTCCACACTAAACGGTATTCAGGCCCCAGCTGGCCTGCTCACCCTTAGCCTACCGGAAGCTCCAAATCCTGTGGGTATTATTGTCCTAAGAGAAAATGATTGCTGGAGGGCCTCAGATATCTGTTGCAGGCCTACCCAGCTCTGAATAGCAGATGCCAGGGATTCAGATGTTTTCTCTGCACACCTAACCCCGACCAGAAAGCCGGGGCTCTGCAGGTCGTGGGCTTGGTGTCTCTCCTGCCCAGGGTTGTCTGCAAACAGGTGGAGCATGTTGGTGCCGTCTCCTCTCTGCCTCCTACCCTGAGAGGGGACAGCTCAGGGTAGGGTTGTGGCATACAAGAAGTGGGCATCAAATCAGTGTACTAATTCCAGAAAGCAATATTAGTTTCCCAGTTCTGTGAAGGTCTGAAGATGTAGAGTCCCTCAGGGAGACCCGAAGGTGAATGGGACTCCCTGGACAGAGGGTGTCCTTTGAAGAGGCAGACACCAGGTAGCCCTCCTTGTTTTTCTGAAGTCAGTGGATCCAAGCACTATTAAGAGGTAGAGATTAAGAAGGAACAAGGAGCCTTGGGTGGACTGTCATTTATTCCAGAAGCTACTCAATGAGCACTGTATTCGGGCTGGGTACCAGGCCCGCCCACCCCCAGGCCTTCAAGTCTCACTGAATGCAGGGCCTTAGGGGTTAAGGTTGAAGCCTGGTCTTTGTCCATAACTAGGCATTGAACAGTGGGGGTATCTACATTGTCCTCTGAAGCCCATCAGGCGGGGGGACAGTGGGCACAAACTGAAGCCACTGCAGGGAGGAAGGGGTATGGTCACTGCTCCGAGTGGATAATCTTTGGGCCTGTGAATGGGAGAAGGGATGGGAAGCGTCCCCATGAGTTTAAGGGTCATGACTAACATATAGAAACTTCAGAGCTGCCTGGGGCCCAGGCGCATGGCCAGCTAATGAGTTACTGTCAGTCATAACCAATTATATCCTGAATCCCCTTCAGCCTCAGCAAGAGTTGCCAACCAAGCAACAGAAAAACATGTTAGCATGTCAGCCTACAGCCATTGCCATATCTCCCGATCAGAGCCGAGAGGCTGCGACCAGTGGATGGCAGGGCAGATGCACTCCACCCAATTTCGGCGAGTTGCGCCAGCAGTCCTCCGTGCGCGCATGCGCAGACACGCGGCTGGGGCCTTCTGGCTGGCAAGGGTTTAGGGCCCAGGCGCTAGGGCTTCCCCCGAAGAGAGCAAAGCCTTAGACTCGGCACCTGGCTCTTGGGGCTGCGGGATGGAGGGAGGGTGTGTGCCGTGGCGGGACCCAAAATCGCCTGTGCGCAGGGGGCATTCCAATCAGGTCCTGGTTCGGTTCGTGGTTCATGCCAGCTCCACCGCAGCCTGGTCCCAAGACTTTTGTCGTTTAATCTCTTAGCCTCCTTGTCAGAGATGGCATCCTTGCACACCAGGCATCCATCCCCAAACAAGGAGAGGCAAGAAGATAAGTGACTCCTTGAACTAGACAACCCCAGGGGAAATTCCACCGACCCCCTTTGAGGTTGGAGCTGAGCGCCAGAAACCAGGCTCAAGTCAGGGGAACTGCAGAGGGGAGGGAGGGGCTGGGGAGATAAGGCCCCAGCCTTCTGGAGCCAAGGCCCCGCCTGGGGCAGAGGCCAGGGATTCAGGTGGAAGGTTGTGCAGCCTGGGCCCGTCCTAGCTAGAGGTGAAAAGCCAGGGGGATGCACAGGGTGAACTCTGGGGCTTGGAGTTGGAGCCACAACAGGACAAAGGAGTGAGATACCCTAAAACCTAGGGCTGAGGAGTGAGGAGAATTCACCAAGCCTGCCCTCCTCGCCTTTCCCCATCTCTCCCTGCCTCACGTGCAGTCCAGGCTACGTGATCCCAGGGCCCAACATTCCTCCTCAGCCCACGCTCTGCCTCTTCCCATCCTCTTCCTCTTAGAGTCCGCTCTCCCTGGTCCTTCA